GATTTTCCTTTACCGTTTTTTTTTTAAAGCAATTTAAGGTCACATTCATATTGTGGAGTTATCTAATTTTGTCAACACTAGTGTAAAAATGTAAAATGAGTGTAAAAATCTTGATGTTTGTGTTGGTCTCGTCCATTAAATCTGATCTTTAATTTGTATTTTCTATTAGATTCAAGTCAGGTGATTAGCTGGGCCATTCTACAGCTTGATTTTCTTTCACTGAAACCCTTTGAGAGTTTCCTAGCTCTGTTTTTGAATCATTGTCTTGGTAAAATATCCACTTTGGTTTCATCTCCTGCTAATGTAGATGTTGGACTGAAGCAGCTGATATTCATTTACAATGATGAAGGGCAGAGGATTGCTGAAGAACTACTGAGAGATTTCAGCTGCTGTCTGGGCCTTTTCTGCCTTTTTACACCTTCTTTTCTTCATGTGTTCAATAATTTTTCCCTGTGTCTTTTCATTACACATAACTTAATTTGTAAACTAATTAGATTTGTTTTCTTTTCATTTGTGTATTTATTTGTTGTTACCAACATCTGATTAAAACATTTCAAGCATCTTTAGAAATATGTTTTCTGCGAAAAATAGTGACTTGTTTAATACTTATTTCCCTGCTGTATCTCAGTCAGTTGCTCAGTTCTTATTTTCAGTAAGTTTTAACTACTTAATAAGCATATGCTAATGCATGCATGTATAGATATGTGCATACATTTATGATAAATAAGCACAGAGCAATCATACTACAACCACCAAACTAACACCAAACCTCCAAACTGGTCTGATTTGGGTTGCTATACCTTTTCCGACTATTCTGACGATTTTCCAAAAACTGACCCGGAAAATTTGGAAAAGTCTCATTGACTTAACATTAAACCAAACTTTGTGACACCATAATTTTGCGCCAGACTGTCATACAGACTTATGGTTACACTCATTTAACTCAGACTACCAATCGGCCAATCACTGATAACATTTCAACTTGCTAGTCACACCCTAGTAATCACTTACGGCACCCTAGCAAGTTAGCAACTGTCCCATAGACTTTCATTTAAAAAAAAAAACTGCCATTGAAACATACTAACAAACATGCTAATCATACTAGCAACATGCTAATTCATACTAAATGCTAATACATGCTAGTTTATACTACAAACATGCCAGTGACATGTTCATTCACACTAAAAGCATGCTAACAACATGCTAATTTATGTTAGAAACATGGTCATTTATGTTACCAACTGCCTAGCAACCAATCAGAACACCTAAGCAACCACCTAGCAATACCTTAGCAACAGTCTAGCAACCCCTTAGCAATGACCTAGAACACTCTAGCAACGCCTTAGTAGCCACTCAGAACACCCTAGCAACGCCTTAGCAACTGCCTAGCAACCACTCAAAACACCCTGGCAACCACCTAGCAACACCTTAGCAACAACCTAGAACACCTAGCAACCAATCGGAACATCTTAGCACTGCCTAGCAACGCCTTACTTACCACTCAGAACACCCTGGCAATTGCCTAGCAACACCTTAGCAACCACCTAAAACACTCTAGCAATGCCTTAGCAACCACTCAGAACACCATAGCAATCACCTAGCAACACCTTAGCAACCGCTCAAAACACCCTAGCAACCACCTCACAATGCCTTAGCAACCGCTCAGAACACCATAGCAACTGCTTAAGAACCACTCAAAACACCAACCGCATAGCAATATCTTAGCAACCACCAAGCAATCCTTTAGCAACCGCTTAGCTACCACTCAGAAAACCCTAACAACCACCCAGCAACACCTTTGCAACGACCTAACAACCACTCAGAACACACTCTCTCTCTCTCTCTGAGTGTGTGTGTGTGTTGCTTTCAAAGGAACTGAATTCCCTGTAAACGGTCTACAGCAAAAACAAAACACAGTGAATGTCAACAAAAGCACATATATGGCACTGAGGAACCGAGAACACGCGTTAAAAAATGAACAAAACATAGAGAACTGTTTTCCTGTGCGTCTTAAGTACAGGGCACTGCTACGAAACAGCACAAGCGAAAGCCACGCGGCTCACATTGCTTTAACATTATTAATGAGTATGGTGTTCAGGCCATTAAACTTTAAAATATTTTAGCAATAAATAATTCAAAGTTTCTTTTTGTTTCAACTCTACTGAAAGAGAGAAAGTCGCAGTCTGGAGCTATAGAACTGTTTTATGGCCGGTTTAGTGTTGTAATATTTAATACTGAATTACTTTTTCTTTGGATGTTTTCATGTATTGTTGACAACATAACCATAAGCTGGATAACCGATGTTGTTGTTTTAAAAATGACAAGAACAGTCATAATTCTTTTTGGTTAATTCATAAAGATTAGTGGGTTAAAAAAATCAATTGCCTCTTTCTTGCATAAGGCAATGAGGCACCTTTTGTGAAAACCAGAGATTAGGGAACAGCATTAAATCAATTGACAGAAAATGTGGAGAAAGAAAAAGCAGGGATAACTGGGATTCTCAAGAGAGGGGGAAGCGCGCGTGTGTGTGGATTCTGTGTAATGCATTTACAGAATGGCACAGTGCCACCCGATGGATTAGAATTGACACTTTTTTAGATTTTTTTAAGGATCAGGGGTTCCCAAACTTTTCAGCCCACGACCCCCCAAATTACAATGACTTGTGACCCCCAATATCCAGTGGTTATAAATATATAAACCTTGCATACACCGACACACACATACCAATAGGCCCGAGTTTATTCTTCATTTAATTTTAAAAGAACACCACCTGGAGACCATCCTCCATGTTCAGTTGTGGCCTGTATTTATTTTTAATGTACGTAAGTGCCATAAAGGTGTCAGAATGTTTAACCTGGTGCCATAAAATCAATGTGCTGTCTCTTTAATATAACAATTACCCCAGGGGTCTCAAAAAATAGGAAAGACTAATGGCTTTTCATAGATATATCTATGATGGCGTTTTAATTGCATAATGTTTCTTGAATTTAACTAGTAGCCTAACTACATTTTTTTCTTCTTCTGTAGGATATGGATAAAATATTAAAATATGGTAACTATAATAGTTTAATAAAATGAATTAGATTTTTGGAAATCGATAAGCAACCCCCACTGTTGGAACCACTGTTATAGACTATTTTCTTGGGTTATTGCAACTTTATATGTGCCTTTCTGTTTAAAAAAATAAATAAATAAACAATGAGCCACATATCTTGTATGAACTGTAAAACATTATATGATCATTTAGTCCTGATAGTATATGTTTTTAGGTCTTTGTAACTCATTAAACTAAGTTAATCATGTTCTACCTTAATTGTATAAGTCACACAAGCTGTTTAAGTCAGTTTAACATAATAGGAGTTTAATAGACTCATAAGGTTATTTGATTCAGCTTAAAAGTTTAAGGCTACCAGGATTTTTTGACAGTGTAGGCTACCTTTTGAACCATGTAGCCTATTTAGTGCTACACTGTTCATAAACAGTTCAAAAAAGGAATAATGTTACATTATGTATATGTACGCATTACAATATTTAAAAAAAAAAACAAATAATTTCGTATAAATAAGCATTTTAAGAAACACACATTCAAATCCACAACTGACAAAACAAACGCCAAAACTTATTATTCACAAAATATATATAAATAGAAAAAATATATAAATGGTTGATGTAAATAAGTATACACTCTGTTGTAATTTCAATTAAATAAAGAATTCAGCTTATTTATGTGCTTCTCTTTTAGATAATTTTTCTTTGTTATACAAGAATGTTTTATTTGTTTTTTATCATGTTGTTAAAGTAAAAGATTAAAATAAATCTATTTATTTTACTAACAAGATTTTTTTATACACAAATGCAAATTTGTGTCTTATAAAGCCCCTGATTCTTATTTTTTTTTATAGATTTAAAGTATGATTTGGATATGTTTTGGATCTCCACCTCCAGCAATGTTAAAGCTTTAAAATTAATAACACTATATGAATCTTACAGTATTGCATACTTTTCTATAATACCCGGTTGATTGTATTCTGTCACCTTTTTTTACATCACTTTGACCTTGCTTTAAGATTTAAAGTGATGTATTGTAATTTATATTACCCCTAGCAATATTTTTTTTGTTTCTCTTTTGTTTTGCTTTGTTCTGTTGTCTATTTTTGTTGTTATAGGATTTATACCTTTTCTGTGTATTTGTCTACGCTTGTTGAACGTTCCAATAATAAAAAAAAAAAAAACAATCAAAAAGAGTTTATATTGTTAGTTTAAATCACTATTCACTCATCAAATACGCGTGACAAGTGTTACATTTCTCAGTGTTTGTGAGGACGGACCAATCACTGTCGTTTGTGGATTTAAACAAGCTATTCACTGCTGCACATTTAGTTTTTCAGTAGCCTATATTATCTAATTAAAAAATTATACTTTACGTATATGTCACGCCCAAATCTTTATAGAAATTGAATGTTAAATATTTATAGTTAGTCATAGTTAATATTTTTATAGTAAATTATTTTTTGAGCCACTACGGCCCCCTAGAGGAAAATACGATTGTTGCTTCATATGTCTAATGAACAGAGGAGGGAGAGTGGACAGGCTGGATGAATATTTGGCAGACTCGTGAAGGGCGGAGCTTGATACGTCAAATCAATGTTGTTCCGGTTGAGAGGTACGCGTGTGTTTTGGACTTTGTTATGAAATAAAAGAAACGTCTTTCTTTACGTGTAAAGCCGGTAATGATTTTGGACGGCCTTATTTATTAAGCTACGCTCGACGTTATTTACACTCCACAATGTTTACGAGGGGCTGTTTCTACAAATCCAGACAGGCTTATCAGAGTCTAAGGTCATTATAAATATAATTAGTATTAGGTATATAATTGAACATATTTCATATTTACATTGAAATAAACAATGTTTGTCTCAAGTGCGACGTGTTTTTACACTGTTCAGGACCGCACAAGTTAGCCCACTTTAGCAGACAAAGGCGATGTTGTATTTGGGGTCATTAGATGTTTAAATCCCCCCTGTGATCTGATCAGATTACGGTCTAGCTGTGAGGTCATTGTTAGTTAGTTGATTCAAGAGGAGACCACATCAGTTTGAAGATGATTGACTTAAATTGCCAGTCGAATTCTCTTGTGTCTGCATTAACTGCGTTTGCTTTCCTAGTATCTTCAACATGTTTCTTTTACAGACCGGTGATTATTACAAGGTCATCGCGTGTGTTAATCTGTCTGTTGTTGTGTAAATGGTGGTGTTCTTTTCTCCTCAGTTTTACCTCTATTCTTGTGCTTTATCTAGAATGGGGAACTTCTCGTCATCTGCGCCTGGGTTGTCAAGCTCAGCTTGTGGTCAGTTTGTGCAGGTAAGCTTTACCAGCCGAAAATTAACCATGGTTTTAATGAGGTAATATGTAGCAACTGTTTATTGTGTAATTTTTGTCATATTGATTGGTAAAAAGCAGTTTTCTACATGTATCATGGTTAGTTTGGGGTTACTGCTGCTCAATAACAATAAAAATAACATTTTTTGAATAAATAAAATCATGATTATTTTATACTGGTTTATTTTGGTTTCATTCAAATACTCATTATCATCTGAAGTCAATCTAAGGCTATATATACTTGCAACAAAGAGGAAAGTTTTGCAAGCAAGTTTCGAGAAATAAAAATAAATTTTGCAAACAAAAACAAAGAACTGCAAATAAAAAAAATCAAGCAGTCCAAAGAACTAAAATATGTATAAGTTTTTTTCCAGAAAGATTTTCGTTCGCAGTTCTTTATCTTTTTTTTTTTTTTTTTGTAAAATTACTTTTTATTTCTCAAACTGTATATATTGCAAGTATATATGGGCCTAGATTGACTCCATAGGTTAATGATTATTTGAATAAAACCAAAATGAACTGATATAACCTGTAAAAATTAACCATGGTTTAATTTATTCAAAAAAAGTTTGTTTATATATATATATATATATATATATATATATATATATATATATATATATATATTTTTTTTTTTATTAAACCACAATTTCTTATGTAATATGCAAAATATTTTTTGTAGTTCTTTTTTGTTTGCAAAATTCTTTTTTATTTCTCAAAAACTGAATTTTCCCTTTGCAATTTTTTTTTATTTTTTATTTTTATTTTTTTTGCTCACTACATTATTTTTTATTTGCAAAAATTTTTTATGTTGCAAGTATATATTTTAGATTGTAGTTTATAATCCTAGATTGACTCCATAGGTTACTGATTATTTGAATGAAACAAAATAAACCAGTATAACTCTTGTAAAAAATGAACCATGGTTTTATTTATTTAAAAAAAAGTTTTTTTATATTGTTGCTAAACCACAATTTCTTATATAATATGCAAAATATTTTTCCAGAAAATATTTTTTTTATTATTGTTTGCAAAATTCCTTTTTATTTCTCAAAAACTGAAGTTTCCTTTTGTTATTTTCCTTTTTTTTATTTTTTGAAGATTTGCTTAATTTCTAAATTGTTTTGCAATAAACACTAAACAATACATTATTATTTTGTTTGCAAAACTTTCCTTTATGTTGTAAGTATATATGGCCCTAAATTGACTCCACACTTAACCTGATAAGGCAAACTGTCATAATTGCTCAGTTTTGCCATTCTAAAGCTTGTTTATGGTCTAGTATAAAATTGAATCAGTCATCATTAAATTGAAAAAGGTGTTTTGGTGACCAAATAAATTCAGTTCCTGTTAAAGGGAATCTAAACTGTTTGGTAACTGACATTGGTCAGTTAGTATGTGTTGTAATCTTATTACAGCCTTATCTGTTGTAACTTTATATTGTAACATTAAATTAACCATGTTTTCCCCTGTACTAACTGTTGTACAACTGTGGTTACAAAAATGAAAATCATCTGCCAAACAATATAAATATAGGTTACTACACTTTTAATATAAGACAATATTGTTAATTTATATAAAGGCATAAACTCTGATAAACTCAGATTAACCATGGTTGTGCTATAGCAACCTTAGTTTAACCACAGTATTTGTTAATAAACTGTGATTTTGGTAATCTGCCAAAAACAAAACAAAACTGTGCCCCCAAAAATTGTTTGTCTAAAAACCATCATTTTGCTTATAAAGATATATATGGGTAAATTAAAGATTGGTTCATTTTGATTTGTTAATTTTTTGTATTTTTACTTTAAGTTAAACTGTAAATTAAAAAGAGAATCATCCACTGAACCAAAAGTATGTAACGCTTCCATTACCCTTCAAATTGCACAAATTGATATTGCTAATAAAAAAATGTACCTAATGCAATTTTGTGTAATAGAAATCAGCTGATATTTGTGCAATTGATGGTTATGACCACTACATGGAAACAGCAGGAGAGAGGTCTGGATATTTTACAGTCTTTGGTCTGGATGCAGACTTGGGTGAGCTGCATGCAATGCTTTTTAAAGTGCACCACTGACCCTACCCCTTACAGTGATGTCACTACACTGCATCTCTGAGATATGCAGTCTCAGTTTGCAAACAAAGTCTGCATCCAGATACTATTGGAGAATTTAGAGGCATAGATACAGTGGAAAGAAAATCGTTGATGCTTTGCTTTGTTCAACCATAGCTAGCTTTATCATGATTATGCTGCATTTAAGCCATGTTGTGATTATTATAATTTTGAAACGGCTGCATCATAGAATTATGTATTCCTATGGCAAAATAATTAGCATCTAAATTATTTTTTGGTGGTCAGGTAGTATAAGGCGTGGCTTTAATTACCGGCTAATAAATTGAGGATGCCAGTATTTTTTTTTAAACTGGATTCTCATAGTTACAGCATAGTATGAACTTTATCAAATTAAAATTGCTGTGATGATATCAAAGTAAAAGTGTATATATTCTGTTAACGTTCCATCATTTATATATATATATATATATATATATATATATATATATATATATATATATATATATATATATATATATATATATATAAATAATGGAACGTTAACAGAATATATACACTTTTACTTTTATATATATTAAAATTATTTACATCACACTAGGTCAATATTAATATTTCTTGTGTTGCACATTTTAAATTGTTTTAGCAGTTTTTAACAAAATATTATTATTAATAATTAAGTGTACAACCCTTATATGTTGTGTAATATATTCTGTCTTCAGGATGTTTTTATTTTTTGTAACCTTGTTTTTTTTTTTTTTTTATCAGGATATTGTGTCCAGTAACTGTGTTGTAATATTCTCCAAAACAACATGTCCTTACTGTAAGATGGCAAAGGGTGTCTTTAATGAGATTGGAGCTACGTATAAAGTTGTTGAACTGGACGAGCACAACGATGGTCGACGTCTCCAGGAGACTTTAGCGGAACTGACAGGTGCCAGAACAGTAAGTCTGGTCATTTATTTATATTTATAAAACCATGTCAAGACTTCTGTGTGCAAATTGGACTTTTACATGCAATGCAGTATGTAACTTTTGTCAAGTATTGTTGTCAACCTTGATTCTTTCAGGTGCCAAGAGTTTTTATTAATGGACAGTGCATTGGAGGAGGCTCAGATACTAAACAGCTCCACCAGCAAGGAAAACTTCTGCCTCTTATTGAACAGTGTAGGCCGTGCTGTTTAAATATGACACCTGAGGGCTCAGGAAATAGTCAAAATCAGCCTCATCAGTGATGCTTTCTGTAGTGTGTATTATATATAAACATGATGGTCACCTTTAAACAGCCTAAATACTAAATGTTTTAAATGTATATGCTTCTGTATAAAAAAAAAAATACCTGCCTGATTTAATGACAATTAATGAGTATTGTTATTTTGTTTATAATATTCCTGAACATTTGTTAGCCCAAGTACAGAAATGCACTGTATATATTCCTGTAAGATGTAACACCAGATAATAAAAGTGTTTTTACTTTTACTTTTTAAGTTACAAAACCCCTGTATTTATGTAAAGTATATAAATACTTTTTTAAAATAATGTCAAAAATGTTCCATTGTTTTGTTTTTCTGATGTAAGTGCACAAACTCCAACTGGATTTACATAAAACCTTATTTTTTTACATCATTTAAAACAATTGTTTTGTACTTCTGCCTCTTATTGCCTTCTGGCCATGGTCAAAATCAACTTCCTCAGAAATACTTTTGCAATACTTGTCAGTATAATATAGAGATCATGTATTTGTGTCTTGAAATGTACAGTAAGCTGCTGCCTGGAAAAAAAGACAATAACAATTTAACAACAATGCTATTACTATTGTTATTTCAATGCACTGTATGCTTTCCTGTAAAGTGTAAAAGGCCTACCAATTTATGACAAATTTTACTTGCATTATAGAGTCACAAAACTACAGTAGTTATACTGTTTGAGCCATTCTATGCAAAGATCAACCTTGCCATGAGAAAAAAAAATAAAGTTTTCACACAAAATAAGGAAAATTTCTAGTTTTTTTTTTTTTGGGCTTATATTTTACAGTATTAAACTGTATTATTACAGTATAGAGTACTGTATTTTACAAAAAAACTGAATAAAATTGCTATTTAATGTTCATTTTCTATTGTAAAATAATTTTATCTTAATTTTACATCAAACTGTGCCAAACTTAATAGTTCTTGGTTTGTACATTTTTACATTAATTTTGCAGTGTTTAACAGAAAAATTAAATCATATTGTAACAACCCATACACTACCTGAGTCTTGTCGTACATCCAAGTTTTAGGAATAACAAATAATAAAGACTTCTAGATGATCATTTAAATTCAAAAGGGGGTTATATGAAAGCTAAAGGCCTCTAGATTACGCTTTTTATGCCTTGATTTTTTTTTATTAGGACAGTAAGGTCTGACTTTGCTTAGACCAGGGGTGTCCAAACTCCAAACTAATCTTTGCAGGACACCGGCCCTCCAGAACTGAGTTTGGGCACCCCTAGTACTACAGTACTTTAAAAATGTCTCTGTCAATCTTTTCAAACAATTATATTTGATTTACCAAATTCACACAAGTGACAAATTCACATCTGTCACATCCACAAAGTTTTTTTCTTCATAAATGCAAAAATATTCAAGAAAATAAATTATTTATATAGTGAGACATTGGCGTTTGGTTAGCTTTTGATTAGCATTGTTTCTTTTCGGGTTGTGCAGTTTAATACACAGAATTTCTACAAAGTATACTGTAAACTCGCATACTTTTTTGGTCACATCCATGACATGTTTATTTTCTTCATTTAAATTATGAAAAATGTTTACAGATTGATAATTTTCTCATCCTGTAACTCTGTGTTTAGTTGTTTTGGAAAATATGTTTCGATATAATGTTAACATACACTTTCTTTGTGTATTTATGTTATAACTTTTCACAAATGTCACATCCGTAATGGTGGAATTGCACCTAAAATTTATTTAATTTAAAATGAAATCTTCTTTGTCTCTGGTGTTAGCACACAAACACAAATTGGATTAAAATAAAGCCTTATTTTTAACACCAATGTAAAAAAAAAAGTACTTATTTAAAACGGGATTTATGTAGAAATGGCAGCAATTTGAGGAATATTGTCGTGACTGAACACTAAAATGGCTGAATTAATGAAAATAAACAATTTTAGCGAGCTATTGTTACACTATGTTCTGTTTTTTAACGTGTAAATGCTATTTTAGTTTAATAACCAACATTAACTTAAAAAACACTTTTGTTAATATAATAAAATATACAAAAATCACTCACAAACACTCCAGAACACGCGGAGGCAGAAGCGCGCGCCTCACTCTTCCTGGATCCACATGAAGCAGAAGAATGACGCACGTCGAAAGGGATGCCGGGAAAACCACTGTGTGTGTGACTGTGAATGAGTCTCATTAGCCTTGTTGAACCGCTACACGAGCACATTTTCTGTTTACTGTAAGATAAATATAATTCCAGAAATGGCGGGAAGCGCTGGGGAATGGTGTCTTATGGAAAGTGACCCAGGAGTTTTCACAGAGCTGATAAAGGGCTTTGGTAAGGACTCATTGTTTTTCTTTAATTAGCGGTGCGCGGGGGTGCGCTGGTGCTGCTTCAGTGATTTAGACTGCAAAAATAGGATTGATAATGTGTGGTTTAGGTAGTGTTTGACTGGGTGAAATAATCCACATAAGCCGATTCATTGAATGGGTCAGTGAATGAGTCAGCGCTGTTAATTAATGCACAATGACAGCTGCCTCACACACATTTGTGTGTAAATGTCAGTGGTCTTGTCTCAAAACACTGAGCAGCCTTATTATTATATAAACTGTATCGTATGTGTGTGTTCTGAATGGTCGAGTCATATTTGTGCATCAGAAAGAGCTGCAGCATTTTGATATCATGATTTTATATGCATTATTAATAAATATAGCAGGTATTGTTTATATTTGGACATTTAAACATTCTCAGTAACAATATAATTTTAGAAAAGTAATCTGCAAATTCTAAATGATGAAATTATTTTAGCACCTAATGACTGTCAAACTTTTACAACACTCTTCACACTCAAATAAATAGTGCTAATGTTGTTTTCTAGTCATACTTGCATGCTAATGAAGCCTTCTAAGTAGAGTGGTAAACAATATATGAGCTGTTAAATGAACAAATGTGTGAATATAACACCAACTTTACCTCAATATACACTCACCGGCCACTTTATTAGGTAAACTATTACCGGGTTGTACCCCCTTTTCCCTTCAGAACTGCCTTAATCCTTCATGACGTAGATTCCACAAGGTATTGGATAATTCCTCAGAGATTTTGGTCCTTATTGACATGATAGCATCACACAGTTGCTGCAGATTTGTCTGCTGCACATCTATGGTGGAATCTCCCGTTCCATCACACCCCAAAGGTGCTCTATTGGATTGAGATCTGGTGAATATGGAGGCCATTTGAGCACAGTGAACTCACTGTAATGTTCAAGAAATCAGCCTGAGATGATTCGCACTTTATTACATGGCGCGTTATCCTGCTGGAAGTAGCCATCAGAAGATGGGTACACGGGTACACTGTGGGCATAGAGAGATGGACATGGTCAGCAACTATACTCAGGTTTTGACACAATGCCCAATTGGTACTAATGGGCCCAAAGTGTGCTGAGAAAATATCTCCCACCACCTGCCTGAATCGCTGATACAAAGCAGAATGGATCTATGCTGACGCCAAATTCTGACTCTACCATCTGAATGTCGCAGCAGAAATTGAGACTCATCAGACTAGGCAACCTTTTTCCAATCTTCTGTTATCCAATTTTGGTGAACTTTTACAAATTGGAGGCTCAGTTTCCTGTTCTTTGCTGATCGGAGTGGCTCCCAGTGTGGTCTTCTGCTGCTGTAGCCCATCCGCCTCAAGGTTTGACCTGTTGTGTGTTCAGAGATGCTCTTCTGCATACTTTGATTGTAATGAGTGGTTATTTGAGTTACTGTTGCTTTTCTATCAGCTGGAACCAGTCTGGCCATTCTCCTCTGGCATCAACAAGGCATTTGCTCCCACAGAAATGCCAATTACTGGATTTTTTTTCCCTGACCATTCACTGTGAACCCTAGAGAAGGTTTTGCGTGAAAATCCTAGTAGATCAGCAGTTTCTAAAATACTCAGACCAGCCCTTCTGACACCTACAACTATGCCACGTTCAAAGTCACTTAAATCGCCTTTCTTTCCGATTCGGATGCTCGGTTTGAACTGCAGCAGATCATCTTTAACGTGTCTAAATGCACTGAGTTGCTGCCATGTGATTGGTTGATTAGAAATTAGCGTTAACAAGCAGTTGTACAGGTGTAATAAAGGATCCAGCAAGGAAATATTATGGCTGCACGATATTGGAAAAATCAGACATTGCAATATTTAGTTTTTCTGCGATATACATTGAGATATAAATAAAGTTTTACCAGATGACTTGAATAGCTCTATTTGGAAATAAATAATTCATGTAGAGTGATTGGGGTGATTTTGTATGGGTGTGAATCCTGCATTAAAATAAATAGAGCAACAAAACAAGTTAAATTAACAGTGCTTTATGGTTTTCTGCAGAGTCAAACAGTATAAAGGTACAGAAATTGAATGATGAAATGTAAAATACACTTTATTGTCTTCATTGTATTAATAATTGAGTATGTTTACTCTTCATTAAAGTTACAAATTGTGTCTGAATGCTTTACACTCTTTTAAATTGCCTTTAAAACACATGCAAATAATAAAGTTTCACTGTTGTTGGTATACTTTGCAATGAATTCACAAATCTTGATGCTGAAACTATATATTGTGCAGTCCTAAGCTGTTTTTTTTGTTATTATTTTTATTTGCAGTTGTTACAATTTTATGTCGTAATTTTGTGTATATATATATATATATATATATATATATATATATATATATATATATATATATATATATATATATATATATATATATATATTTTTTTTTTTTTTTTTTTTTTTTTTTTGGGCATTTGTACTAATTAAAAAAAAAGGTTATTTATTTCATGGAACAAAATTGCGAAACATTGAACTTTCGGTTATGTAAAAATAGCACTTTTATAAATACCTCACCTACAGCTTATTGTAAAATATCTAAATATGTAATAGATGTATTTAAAAACTACATCAACACTTTACCGTCTTTTTAAAAAAAAAAATTTTATTGTAAGTCAGTCTCACATAAAGCTATTGAGCCTTAAACAAAATTTGCCATTGAGTCCATTTGGTAATTAAAAAAAAAACAAATGTGTATTTATATATATATATATATATATATATATATATATATATATATATGTATGTATGTATGTATGTATGTATGTATGTATGTATGTATGTATGTATGTATGTATGTATGTATGTATGTATGTATGTATGTATGTATGTATGTATGTATGTATGTATGTATGTATGTATGTATGTATGTATGTATGTATGTATGTATGTATGTATGTATGTATGTATGTATGTATGTATGTATGTATGTATGTATGTATGTATGTATGTATGTATGTATGTATGTATGTATGTATGTATGTATGTATGTATGTATGTATGTATGTATGTATGTATGTATGTATGTATGTATGTATGTATG